CAGCACGCACACACACACACACACACACACACACATGCACACACCTGAAGGGACCCTCCGCCAGGCACTTTGGGAACATGGGCACCGCGCCGGTGGGCAGGTACAGGCTCTTGCCGCGCCCGCGCGCCTCGCCCGCCAGCGCCGAGCCGGGGGCCACCCAGCGCGAGGGGTCGGCGATGTGCACCCACACCTGGCGTCACGGCAGCCGGCCACCATCATCGGATCAGCAGCGGCAGCAGCATGCCATGCGTGGCAGCAAGCGACACCGGACGAGCAAGCAAACCCCGTCGAGCAGCAGCAGCGGTGCCCCCGATCGATTACAAACCACCACCACCACCCTCCCCACCACCACCACCACCTCCACCCCCTAGCTCCCCACCTTGAGCCCGCCGCCGGGCAGGCGCTCCAGCGACAACCCATCATCGATCTCGGTGGTGGAGGCGTCGTCGATGGTGATGACGGAGTGGGTGGAGGTGAGGTCGACGCGCCGCGCCGCGTCGGGGTCGGGCGGCGGGCACGCCACCAGGCCGGCCGCGGCGGCCTGCGCGGGCGCAGCGCCGGGGCCGGGCGCGCGGCAGGGGTGGGTGTCAGCCCGGCGCAGGCGGGCTCGCCCCCGGCGCATGCGCAGCACCCCACGCTGCGCTGGCACCGTGGCACCGCACCACACGCGTTCCGCGCCCCCACGCACACCCACCACAAACACACGCGCGGCACATCACCAGCTAGGCCAGCCACGCTGCCTGTGCAGCCAGCCAGCCACGCTGCCTCTCTGCCAGCCCACCTCCAGCGCCGCCCCAAACTCCTCGCTGATGCCCGAGGTCACCAGGGTGAGGTGCAGGTGGGGCGGCCACCACCCCACCGACTGCAGCAGCTCCGCCGCATCCTGCGCACCAGGCGGCGGCAGGGGGGCACGCGCGGGCAGGCGGCCAGCTCAGCAGGAGGCGCGCCGCAAGGTGGGGGCAGCCGGCAGGCAGCGTGGCAGCGGCACACCCACCCACACACGCGGGTTGCCTCGCCCACCCTGCCGAAGCTGCCGAGTGTCCTCGCTGCCCCTCTCCCTCCTGCACCGACACACTCCCTCCCTTCCCCTCTCCTTCCTGCACCCCCCCACACACTCCCTCCCTCCCCCTCCCCGAGCACACCCACCTGCCCCGAGGGCGTCTTGCCCAGGTCAATCAGCGTCTGGATGGCGAGGTTGCGCTGCGGCCCCGACAGCGGCAGCGTGCCCAGCGCCAGACCCTCCACCGCCGCCAGCCGCGCGCCGTGCGGCCCCGCCCGCCATGCCGCCTCCCCAGGCTTGCTGCTGCGCGGCTGCGCCTGCGCCTGCTGCATGTCTGACGCAAACCCAGCCCACTCCGCCTCCGCCTGCAGCAGCGGGAGGGGAGCAGGCACGGCAGGGCCGTGGGCGTGAGCCGGGCTGACCAAGGGGCAGGCAAGCGCTGGCCAGGCCGGCACCGGGCAGCTGGCGGGTGCAGCGGTGGCAGGAGGCAGGCAAGCAGGTGGGGGCCCAGCCCGGCAGGCAGGCAGCGCACCTCTTGCTGCAGGCGCAGGCTGTGCGCCAGGCTGTCCACCTGGGCGGGTGTGCGGGGGCTGAACATGGGCGGGCTGCGCCCCACCTGCGCAACCACCCACGCCCAGCACCATCAGCACCAGCAAGTGTGCACTACCTGGAAGGTAGGGAGGCCCGGCCCGCTCCGCCCCACCCCACCCACTCTCCTGCCCCGCCCATGCCAGCCGGCGTGGTCAGCGCGCCAGGGCAGGGCCCGTCGGCGCCAGCCGGGCACTCGCCTGCTTGAAGTAGAGGCGGTCGTCTCGCAGCAGGCGCAGCGCGGCGGCGCAGCTGGCGGGGTCGCCGCCATTGAACAGCAGGTCCGCCATCTGGGGAACAGTGAAGATGGGGGGAGTGCCTGCAGCGTGGCGCAGCGCAGCACAGCGCAGGCAGGCACGCGCTGTGGAGCCGGCCAGGGCTGCCCGCCCCTGCTGGGCTGCAGGCACCACCACCCACCCCGCCCTGGCAGCGCCACCCCGCCCCGCTGCCGCCGGCTGGATGGCCGGCCGGGCTCCGCTGGCGCCCTCCACCTGCTCACCCTCCCCCGAGGCCAGCTCCCAGGCCAGCAGCAGGAGGCCGTCATCCTTGGCCACCTCGGCCGCCGCCGCCGCCTCCACGGCCGCCAGGTCAGCGGCGGTACGGGCGGCGCCGCCGGGCAGTACATACTTGATGTCGGGCGCCTTCACAGAGTACAGCGTGCCGCTGCAGGGAGCGGCAGGCGCGGGGCGGGGACGGCACGGCGTGGGCAGCAGCACGGATGGCGCCACGGGGCGCGCATGGTGCATGCCAGGGCGCGGGCCGTCGCCGGCATCCCCACACCTGCCCGTGCCCTCGCCGCTGCCCCGGGGCCCTCACCTGGCCGCCTCCACCTGCCACCCCTGCGCCGTCTGCTTCACAGCCCGCCCCAGAAGGTACTCCTTGCCCCGCTCAAACTCCAGCAGCGACCCCGCCGCCACCACGCCCTCCTCGCCCTCATCCTGCGCCACCAGCTGCGCCGCAGCCCCCGTGGCATACTGCCGCTGCTGCAGCAGGCGCGGCGGCGGCGGCGGCCTGCAGGAGGGATCACACGGGCGCAGCGCAGGTCAGGGAGCAGGCAACGCGTGCTGTCGACATCGACCGAGCAGCACGTCTGCAGGAGGCTGGCATGGTGACCACCCCCTGTTGGCCCACCTGCGCTGCATGCCGCAAGCCAGCTGCTGAGAGGCTGCTGCTGCTGCTGTCGCCGCTGCTGCTCCGCCCGCCGCAGCCGCTGCTGCCGGCAGGTGAGGCCGCCCGGCGGGGTGCCGCTGCGGGTACGGCGCCGCCATGGAGTGCATGGCGAGCCGCTGGTGCTGCTGCTGCTGGTGATGGTGGTGGTGCTGCTGCTGGCTGGCCATCACGGTGGACATGTTGCTGCTTCCAGCTGTGGAGGCGGCGGCGGCGGCAGTGCGCAGGCCACGCTGCACGCTGGCGGCGCCCGGCGTCACCGCCGGCGTGCCGCCAGCGCCTGCTGCCACTCGGGACAGCCCCGCTGCGGCAGCAGACATTGCGGTGAGCTGCTGCAATTGTTTGAGTTTGCTGAGGAGTGTTTGGAGCAGCAGGCTCTCCATATGGCCCTCACGAGCCCTTCAGGAGGCTTCCTGCACCCGAGCGCAGGTGCCTCGGCGCGGCTCCGCCTCTTCAGAGCATGCCCGGGAAGCAGAGCCTGTGATTCCCAACCCAGATCGAGCCCAGGGTTCGCCGAGGGTGTCTGTGGTTACCCCGGTTGGCACACGTGGCGAGGTTTGCCCAAAAGGGGCGCGAAACGCCCGCCCCTCCCTCTCCCTGTGACTGGACGGGTGGGCATTGAAGCAGGACACAATGGTGCGCCCGCAGGCGACCTTCACTTGCATGGGCATCATGCGGCGGCAGCTGTGGGGGGCGGCAGCATCTGTGGGCGGGATGCAGTGCAGTGGGTGCCACAGGGGCAAGTGCAGGTGCAGCGGGCCCGAGCCCACGGCCCCGGTGACCACCCATGCCTTGCAGCCCAAGAAGATTGAGGAGATCAAGAAGTTCCTCCTCACCGCTCGGCGGAAGGATGCCAAGTCCGTGAAGATCAAGAAGAGCGGCGAGGTGACCAAGTTCAAGGTCCGCTGCTCGCGGTACCTCTACACGCTGTGCGTCGCCGACGCCGACAAGGCCGACAAGCTCAAGCAGTCGCTGCCCCCTGGTGAGCAAGGCGTGCACACCAGCGCACCGCCAGACAGCAGGCAGCAAGTGGCAGTGGGAGTGGCGAGGGCAAGCAGCCAGCCGCAGCGGGTGTGGTTGTTCTGGACAGTTGTGCCGCATGTACGGATGCAAGCGGGAAGGCAACAAAGAACAGCAGGCAGAACACACATTGCGGGCAGGCAGGCAGGCGAGGCGCAGGGCGGCAGGCAGGCACGGAGCAATCATGCAGCCTTTGTTGCGCAGCAGGCAGGGAGCGCATCTCCCGTGGGCACCCACTCGCTGCCACCGCTGCGCTGCAGGCCTGCACGTCCAGGAGATCTGAGCTGGAGCTGGCGGCGGCGGCGGCTGGGACACAGCATCAGAGTGATATGTGGCAGCCGCCCCTCCGCCGTGTAACTTGAGGTCGTAGCATGTCTTCAACCCAACACTACGCAGCCCGCTGACATTCCTTTGGGAGCTTGGGTGTGAGCATTACTGCCAGCTCCTCCGAGCAACATAGTAATGGTGCATTGGAAAATTTGGCGGTGGAGAGGGACTCTCATCTACTATACACATCGGGGCAGTTTGGCAGCGGGGGGCGCGGTGGTGGTGTCGTGGCATGCGACTCGCAGGCGGCTTGGAGCCGCCTTGACTGCTGTGGCAAGTTGGGTTGTTGTTGCTGCTGCTGTTGCAGCTGCTGCGTCTCGGGGTCACTGCTGCGGCGCCTTGATGTGCCCCCCTGACAACTCCAAGGCCATCCGCCGCAGCATCGCCTTGTCTGCAGCGGGAGGGAGGCACCAGGGTGGTTGGGGGGAGGGGGCCAGCTCGCTGCGCACGCTGCGTGCAGGACAAGGGCGCTGCTCCTCATCTACATGCTGCACAGGCGGTACTCGCCTGCGCCGCTGAAAGCCGTCACACGATCCGCCCCCTGATACCCAACAAAGGTTGGCACCGCCGCAACTGCACCGAACAAGCGGGTTTGCAGACAAGCGGGCGGACGTAAGATGCCGGCCATCTGCTGGCTTTGGCTGCTGCACAAGGGGTGACTGGCATGCAAAGCAACGCTGGGCCACCTGGCTGGTGCTCACCCGAGTTCTCCGTCACCGCTTGGGTCACGTTCTGCACGCACAGTGCGCAAGCGCAGCTGTAGATTGAGAATCGCTTCGACAGGCGCAGGACGTGCATGGCGGCACTCCATTGCCATCAACACCCATCTCTCCCCAACCCCTGTGGCCCTGCTGATACCCCAGCAACCTCCGCATGAAGCCCCTCCCTTCCTACCTCGTTGTCTATGTCCACCTTGTAGAAGCTGAGGGTGTTGAACTCCTCGGCAAGCGACTCAAACACCGGCGCAACCATCTTGCACGGCCCGCACCATTTTGCTGTGAAGTCAAACATGGCTGCGGACTTGGTGGTTGCAAGATTCTTTAGCGCTGCCTGGTACTCTGCATCGGTCTGCAGCTCCACCACCTTGCCAGCAGTGCCTGCACAGCAGTGGTCGTGGCGGTGCGGAGTTGAGAGGCGGGGCGGGTGCGGGGCGGCATTGGTCTGGGACCCATTTCTGTGCCAGGTCCTGTAGCAGCAGCTTCCATGGCCTATTTGACGCCCTCTGGTATCGATGGGAGGCCGCAGGGGCGGCAAGTGCAGCTTGCGAGGGGTCTCTTGCCCACCCCCTTACCCGTCGCGTATCCGCTGACCGTCTGCCACAGGGAGGGAGCCAGCTGCCTCCTGGCTAGGCCCCTGCAGGCCGCATTGCTGAGCGCCAGCATCTCGTTGCGGGCGCGCGCTGGTTACGGCCCACTGGCAAACCCCAAAGCAGAGACGATGGCAGGACAGGGCAGGGCTGGCGTGATCCAACTCAGGAGCTTCGAGGTGGAATGGCGGCTGCCTATGAGGCCCTCAATCGTGCCCAGACCTGCCTTGTTTAATCACCGCCTCTCTGCCATCTCCCACCGATACCCAGCCGCACGATGGATGCAGACTTGCTGGGCATAGGGCGGCACTGCGCCCACGCCGACTGCCATCAGCTGGATTTCCTGCCCTTCCGCTGCGACCGCTGCTCCAAAGTCTACTGCCTGGAGCACAGGGTGTGCCCGTGCAGCAAGGACGGAGACACGGTGCTCGTGTGCCCCCTGTGCGCTAAAGCCGTGGTCTGCCCTCCCGGGGGAGATGTGGAGCTTGTCTACGACAGGTGCGCGCCCAGGGAGAGGCAGCTGGGGCCGGCTGGCAAGCGGCGCTGCAACCGCCACTGCCGCCGCCGCCGGTGGAAGGTCCCAGACTTGGGCCGCGCTTGGTGGCCTGTGTGGCTTTGCTGCATTGGCTTGCTCTTGCTGTGGCAATGCTGTGTGGGGCGCACCTGCAGAAGGCATGAGCTGCGGGTCGGCTCCTGCCCTGACGCTACCCACCATCCTCTTCCGTGTTGTTTCCATCCGCCTCTCAAACGGAGCTCCACCAGCATCTCCTCCAACCTGCCTTCCTCCCGTTTCTGGCTCCAGGCACACGCGCACCGAGTGCGACCCTTCCAACTACGACAAGGTGCACCGCAAGCCGCGGTGCCCCGTGGGCGGCTGCAAGGAGAAGCTCACCACCATCAACTCGTATACCTGCCGAGAGTGCGGCGTCACCGTGTGCCTCAAGCACAGGCTGGCGGCAGACCACAAGTGCGTGGGGCGCGCCGCCGCCGCCGCCAGCTCAGCGCACGGCCGCCTCAACCTTTCGCAGAGCTGGCGCCGCATGTTCAGCGTCGGCGGCACCAGCGGCGCGGCGGCCGCCAGCATTGCAGCGCCACGGCAGCAGCAGCAGCAGCAGGTGCCAAGGCAGCAGCCGGCACCGGTGGCAGCCGGTGGCGGCAGCAGCAGCCGGAGGCCCACGGTGGCGCAGAAGGCGGCGGCGGTGGCGGCCAAGACCAAGGACAGCATCCAGTCGCAGCTGCAGCAGTACCGGCAGCAGCGGAAGGGTGGGCCGCCCGGGGCAGCTGGGGTGGTGGACTTGACAGGCAGCAGCCCGACAGCCACCCCCAATGGCGCCGAGCAGTGCCCGCAGTGTGGCGTGCGGTTTGCCACCGTCCAGCAGCTGATTGAGCACGCGGAGGCGGCGCATTCGGGCGGCTGGAGCAGCGGCGCCGTCAACATGCAGCAGCAGCAGCACGTGCCGCCGGCAGGTGGACTCGAGCGCTGCCCCCACTGCGGCCGGGAGTTTGCAGATGCTGTGCAGCTGGTGGCGCACGTAGAACAGCAGCATGCGGCAGAGGCAGCCACCACGTGTGTGTGCAGCTGAGCCAGAGGCATGCAGCTGGCTGGGGCGCCCATGCGCGCATTGTAACTCTCAGTGTAGGACATGAGGCGCCACACAGATCAAGTGAAAAGTCACAGAAACGTCGCCAGAAACAGTGTCATGGCCTTGGGGACTCGCAGTGCGGAATGGCAGGGTGTGCATGGGTGACCAAAGCGTGCACAACTCACAGGGGCCGGGCAGGCAGCACCGTGCCGCGGCACTCGCCAAAGCCCACCCTGTACCCGTCTCCCTGGCAGCAGCCGCGCATCACCACTGCAGGAGGCAGGGAGCAACACCAGTGGTGGGCTCCAGGGTATTCCAGGGCAGCAGCACCTCCTGCCCCGGGCACCCGCCACCAGGCACCACCCGCCCACCCACCCGTGTCCCCATCCTCCAAGTAGGTGCGCTTGCTGCCGTCGCTCAGCTCCACTGGCCGGCTGCCGTTCCAGCTGCAGGCGGCGGCGAAGCAAACCACACAGCCATGCTCAAGGCCGGCAGCCGTCTCGACTGCCGCCACCCGCAACTGGCACCGGCACAGCAGTTCACACCCCTGCCGCTGAGCTGCCTGCTCACGTCGCCTCCAGGAGGCACCCCGCGCCCAGCGGGCCCTCGCAGCTCAGCGTGCCGGTGGCCAGCATGTCGCCCGGCCGCAGGTTGCAGCCGCCTGCCGTGTGGTGGGCGATCATCTGCGGGGGGCACGACCAGCTGGCCTGTGGGCTGGCGTTGGCAAGCATGGCCCGCGGCATGCCAAGCCGCCTGCCTGGATGCGCAAGAGAGGAGCAGGTGGCGGCGGCACAGCGCTGCGTTCATCGCCTGCCACACCTGCGGCATCGTCCAGTACAGCGTGCGCAGGTTGCTGCGCGCCACCACCGTCTCCCCCGCGCAGCCGCCTGCAGGCTGGACGGCCACCTCCAGCGCCACATCATAGTTGCTGCGCTGCGGCTGCTGCAGGTATGGCAGCGGCGCCGGGTCGTGCTGCGGCGGCGCCGGGCGGGCAAATGGCTCCAGCGCCTGGGGGGTGACCACCCAGGGGGAGATGCTGGTGCCCTGCGGGCGGGCAGGTGGTGGTGGGTGGGGGCGCACAGGGGAGCGGGGCGAGCATGGGGCGCCTTCCCGTGTGGCGGGATGGCACGGGCAGCGCTCTGCCTCAGCGAGCAGCGCAGAGCAGGGAAGCGCCTCCCAGGCCGGGCCAGCGCGGCGCAGGCCAGCCAGCCAGCGGGCCTCACTCACAAAGTTCTTGCTGTTGAAGGGGCCCAGCGGCACATACTCCCACCGCTGTATGTCGCGCGCGCTCCAGTCGTTGGCCAGCACCCAGCCAAAGATGTGGTGCGCCGCCTGCGCCGCCGGGATGGCGCTGCCCAGCTCGTTGCCTGTGCCGATGAAGCAGCCCTGCAGGGCGGGTGGGGTTGGGGTGTGGGGCAACCAGCGGGCCCAAATAATCGATGGTTGGGGCGCAACGGAGGACTCCAGCTAGTCACACGAGGCTGCAAGCCACTACCAGCACCCACCCCACCCAACCCCACCCAACCCTCCCCCAGAGGATGCCTCACCATCTCCAGCTCAAAGTCCAGCTGGCTGCTGGGCAGGAAGGCGGGCGCCTGCCCCGCCGCCTGCTGCACCTGGCCCCACGGCCGCCGCACATCGGTGCCGGACACCACCACCGACGACGCCCTGCCGTGGTAGCCCACGGGGAGGTGCAGCCTGCGGCGCCAGGCGGCAGGGCAGAGGGCGCATGGGCGGCGCGGCCCATGGTTGGAGGTGGGCAGCCTCCCCTGCTGCTGTAGAACCCACCAAACCAGCAGCCCCTGCTTGACAGCCCACCCCGAAACAACAACACCTTGCTCACACCCCACCCACACACATGCCCCCCCCCCCACCCACCCACCAATTGGGGTGC